AGTGTAGTAATTTGTAAGCATTGCTAGTGTGGGTGGGTATTGCATTGCAGGAATTCCTTTAGAATGATACAATTAATTTCTTTCAAATGCTTTAAAGGTTTAGGAATGTAAGAAGCTTCACGCCTGAAAAAATAATCCTTTCTTCAAGGCAGCATGCTATTATGCAGTGGCTTCCAACGCAAATGGCAGTGCTACTAGAATGATAGCACTTAGCAATAGCACTTAGACTTATATACCACTTCACAATGCTTTACTGCCCCTCTCTAAGCGGTTTACAAGGTCAGCATATTGCCCCCAACAATCTGGGTGTCAACTCTATAATGAGCATGACTACAGCCACTTTTATTTCTCATTCTAGGTTGCCACATAGAACGGAGGGAGGAGGGTTGCCCAGGTGCTTTGTTAGTCAAAGTAATCTTCTGTCCCATGGGAACCAAGGTCATCTGCTGCTCCCAAGACCATAAAAGGCCCGCCAATTAAGTATTGGGGAACGTAGTTGCTTGCATGGTTTTGTGGGTGGGACATTTAACTTTGTAATTTGTAATTTGGCGATTGTTACTTGTGTATTCAGACTTGGTTTCACTTTTGACCGTGCCGATTCTTTGTAACTAATAAACATGTTCTTTGAGGAACTTTCAACCCTCGGAGTTCTGCTTTATTCATCTCTGTCTGTCGGAACCATGACACTGGGTCCTCGTTTTATCAACCTCAGAAGAGTGGAAGGCTTTGTCAACTTTGACTCAGGTCAGGATCGAACTCCTGGCTGACTCCAGCAGTGAGTCAGCCTGCAATACGGCATTCTAATCACTGCTCCACCACAGTGATGCATGTACTGATGTCTTCACATTAATGCTGTCACAGTGTAATGAAATCAATCAATCTTTATTACGGTCACAGACCAGCAAATAAAAGGATTAAAACAATAATAGTAATAGTAAAAAATAAAAATAAAAGGCAAAGTAATATATAGTGATTGGTGGTGGATTAACAGTGGGCAGTTAAATTTTGCCTTATTTTTACAGACAGCATAGCAGAGTTTGGCCACATTGAGAGAAATTACTTCACACTGATCTGATAGTTGCATGTAAATATTTCCTGGATATTTTTTGGGTAAGGTGTTATAAATTGAGTCTGTGAGTCCTTATAGATATAGAAGATGCAGTACAGCAGGATGTGAGCTACAGTTTCAATGGCTCCTTGTCCACAGGGGTACAATCTCAGCTCACATGGTATTTTTTTTTTTTTGTATTAGCCCTCCAAAACTGCTGTGGGAAGTTCACTTCAATGCATTAAGGTTAATACCCTTTGGATTTTGGGAATGGTTATTTGATATAAATACCTCGCTGCTTTAAAGGGGGAAGTTTGCTCAAATAAACATTCTTGGGAGGAGCAGCCTGATCTTGTTGGATTTCCAGATTTTTAATAAATTGTGTAAATGCGCTAAGTGCACACTCATACCCTATCATTAGAAGCACTTCCTGAGACTTCCGGTTTTGCGGTGGGACGTGTCATATTTTGCCCTGCTGGGGCTGTAAAAAGGGCCTAAAGTCGCCCCGAAGAGGTGATGAAGAGGAGGGAGTGCCTTGTTGATCACGGAGAGACGGCAGTCTTTCTGTTTGATCCAAGGAAAGCCTTCCAAACCGGCAGGGGAAAGATTGACTACATTCCTGTGGCCAGCCATTAGCTGCTGACAACCGAAGAAGAAAAAGCACCAATTAACACATTGTAAACCAGTGGTTCTCAACCTTTTTAATGCCGCGACCCCAACCGGTCGTAAGTCGAGGACTAAACCGGTCGTAAGTCGAGGACTAAACCGGTCGTAAGTCGAGGACTACCCAACCGGTCGTAAGTCGAGGACTTTCCCTGCCCAGGAGCGCCGTGCATGTGTGGTTGCGTCCCCTGCGCCGGCCGAGGCATAGCTGGCAAGCGGCAGAGACGGAGCAGGCCGACCACCAGCTGGCCCAGCCCATGGGAGGTAAGGCACCCGCCGGAAAAGGGGAAAAAATATGGCGGACAAAAAAAATGGCGGACAAAAAAATGGCGGACAGCCTTGCTTGGCAACCCCCATGAAATGGTCGATCGACCCCAAATGGGGTCCCGACCCACAGGTTGAGAACCACTGTTGTAAATGGTATGTTTGGGACTGGGTGAGAATACTGATCCTTTCTTTACTATTTTACAACTGAATTTCCTGGAAAAGGCTCCCAAGAAGCTAAAGACCTCTGAATGTGAACAGAAGCAGCATTTTAATTTTATGAGGGATAGAAACATACAATACTGAAATGGAAGTAACATAAAGCTACAGTTTTGATAAATTTGAAAACTGAGATAACTGTTAAGATTTTATCTTTGGAAAAACAAACATTGAGGCGAAATATAACAAAATCAATCCTTTGCCTTAAGAGTGGAAAATGGATTTTGAATGACATCTAGTGGTGGATTTGTGTACAGCACTATAATTTGCTTCCTGGCTGCTTGGTGACTCCTAGCTTGGGAGAATAGCTGGCAATAAAGGAAAATATTTTGGCATATTTATCACCCTGACCTTCTTGGATTATAAATACCTACTGAGCTTGGACTTTTAACCTCAGAAGCTAGTGGGAGAGAAAGAAAAATTTGACCTTCGACTATGCCTGGATGGGAGAGTCTTCTGAGCTGTTTTCAGGGAGGTTGAACATTTTGAACATTGTGGATTACAACCTTGCCTGATAATTTTTGGATAATTGAAACAAAGGATCACTATAAAATATTGCTTTCAGGACTGGACCTATACTCGGGAATCTATTGGATTATAAAGGCTACATATAAAGACCAGAAAACTAGAGGAAAATTTGATCTACTCTTACTGAGACTGGTGATACTAGAAGATCTCCAGGAATGATGCCTCAAAAAAAAAACTTTTTAGAAGGAAATATACTCTATGTTACAACTAATTCACCAAACAATTGTTGCATACAAAGAGGACATGAAAAGAAATCATAATGAGACTAAAAACAATTTAGATAATATAAATGAGCAAATCTCCAAATTAAATCTACAACTAGAAAGTTCCCAGATAATGACCACAAAGTATGAACAAATAAACCAGAAATCAGAAGACAAAATAGAGGAAATGGATTTAGAGACGGAAGAGATAAAAGAAGGGAAATTTAAACGACCATATACAAACAAAATACTGCAAGACTTAGCCATAACAATGAAAATGCAAAAGACCCTTTACCCCTTAGGTCTACAAAATACATCTGATGGCAAGGAAGAAGATTTTAAAAAATGGAATATAGAGTAGTTAGGGGAAATGCCACAACTTCAGAGATAGGGAATGAAAAGAGAAATTGAGGGAGAAAGAAACTGGGAATTGCTTAAGGAATATAAATGGGCGGAATTCCCCCCCCCCCCAAATATCCTACTTAAATTGTCTTCCCCATGCCAAGCAATTTTCACAAAAATAGAAAGAAAATTCCTGGGCGATCTAATTGCCCTGGCTTGGAAAGCTAGTTGGCAAAGAAAGAAAAAAGAAAGAAAGAAAGAAAGAAAGAAAGAAAGAAAGAAAGAAAGAAAGAAAGAAAGAGTTAGATTTAAAAAACAGAAGATCTGACCTATTAGAGGGGGCATTATATGTTTAAATACTTGCTTGAATAAGATTAAAAGAACGGATGACCCTTAGATATATTTAGACTTTTATAATGAAAGATATGATTTAGAACTAAATTAGCATTTTTCCTTTCTTTTTTTGATAGGGGAAATATGAAAATAAGAGGATTCGTATGAATAAAACTTTTAGCTATGTAAATGTAATTAATATTGAGAAAATTATAACTGACAAAGATATTTCAAATACTGATGGGAAATCAAACCTTAACAAGAGCACAAAAAACAGGATATTGATTTATGAATTGATATTATTATTTGTATGATACTAGTAAAATATGATGAAGATGCTTATATCTAACTTTGTATACATCAACAGTACCAAAAATGTGTAATGTGTAATGAGGGTAAAATGGAAAAAATATGGGGAAGAAAGGAGGATCAGGGGAAAAAATACTGGATTGTATAGTACTCAACAGATTTATATTGAAGAAGTTAATATTAAATATCTGAACCCAGGCAACATGTTGCTTAATAAGCACTAACGATTGTAATTCTTAAAAATCAATAAAACATTAAAAAAAAAAAAAGAAGCACTTCCCTGGAGAAACCAAGATACTGGAGTTTTTGGTCCTGAACCATACTAATTTGAAATCGTGTTATACAGTTGGTCCTCAGTTTACAACCCTAATTGAGCCCAAAATTTATGTTGCTAAGTGAGAAATTTGTTAAGTGAGTTTTGCCTCATTTTACAACCTTTCTTGCCACAGTTGTTAAGTGAATCACTGCAGTTGTTAAGTTAATAACACAGTTGTTAAGTGAATCTGATTTCCCCATTGACCTTGCTTGTCAGGACACTGCATCCATCATAAATGTGAGCCAGTTGCCAAGCATCTGAATTTTGATCATGTGACCATGGGGATGCTGCAGTGGTCATAAGTATGAAAAATGGTCATAAGTCACTTTTTCAGTGCTGTTGTAACTTTGAACGGTCGCCCAATGAACTGTTGTAAGTTGAGGACTACCTGTATAAGGAGAGAACTCAAATCTGTAGGGGGAAAGTAGTTTTAACCAATGTACAAAAATGTAAATCCATGCACCTGTTTCAATTTTGGCTAGTCCTGCCTCCCTACTTAACTATTGCATTTGGGGTGCAGTGTGCTACCTGAAATATGCTCTTAGGAATTTGGATTGCCCTTTCCAAAGGAGTAAAAGAGGAGTAAGGACCTAGCTGAGCCCCAAAGAATAATTGTGTTCGAGTCTTAGCTGCGTATAACTTCAGTGCTGCAGGAATATACTGTGCTTCTCTGGAAAAATAAAAAGATTGAATTTCTGATCTATAAACTTGGCTGAGATAAAAGATGTAGTGTATTGAATATTTCCATATAATATTCTATCATTTTTTATTTTAGCAAACCAATGATGGACTTATTGGTATACCTTTGTGCACAATACCATTTAAATCCTGCAAGCCATATTATTGATCTGATGTCAGCTGAGAAGAAACCAATCAAATTCAAACCTAATACACCTATTGGGATGCTTGAAGTTGAGCAAGTGATCTTAAAGCCAAAACAAATGGATAAGAAAAAGCCTATTCCTATCATCCCTGAGGTGAGAGAGTCAGTAAAGTCTTACTATTGTCATTCCTCTACTTCACATATTTTTTATAATATATATATATTACTTACAAGCAGTAATAGCCTGCTTTAGGCCATATGTCAACTAAAGAGTGCTCACAGATACCAAGGTATCTGTGATACTGCACAGTCAACATCTGTGATTCCACAAAATTATTTTTTTTTAAATTCAGGTGAACTGAAATGTCATAACATTTGAGATAAGAGTGCTTTAATCGTGTGAGATGTTGTATCCTTGTGCAAAGTTTTGAGATGCAGTTGTAAAATCTCACAAGAATAACAGGAATATTATATGCAATTAAAAAAATATTTTGACCTATAATGTATTATTTATTTGTAAAGTTTATACTACTCAAGCAGATCATCAAGACACCTAACAAAATTAAAAGTCATGTCATTTGACACATAAAAAAATCCATTGCTGATCCATATTTTATGGATATTTTATCCATATCTATTCAGGCTGCAGTTATTTGACTTGGATTCTTCTTACCTAGAGAAGATGGATGCTTCTTCTGTTTGCTTGCATCTTCTCCATAATATCCTAAAAATTGATACTGGCAGCCCTTCCCTTTTAATAAGAACAAATTGCTCCTGATGTCATACTTCTGACTGTTTCTCCTTTTCCTGAGGAGAAAGAATATTAACAGCTAAAAATAACCCTGCTCCAATTCATTCCACAACTTATCAGTTTTAGGATAATATGTGTGAATGAGGGAGGCCTAGCTTCATATCTTATAGGAAACTGTAAAGTGTAATGGAATCTTCTTATATTCTTAGAAGAGTTGAAGAAATATGGGAATTAATTACTATTCTATGATTTTTTTTATGTTAAGTATTGCAAACATGTTTTGTATTAATGGACTCTGTAGAGTTATAGTGCATGGTATGTTAAAATCTTTAAAAAATTATATTGTTTTAGCAAACTGTGAGAGTTGTGGTGAATTACAAGAAGACACAGAAGACAATTATCCGAGTTAGTCCTCATGCACCACTTCAAGAAATTGTGCATATTATCAGCAGCAAATGTGATTTTGATCCTTTACACACTGTTTTGCTAAAGACCTATCAATCTCGAGAGACTCTTGACCTGACAAAGTCCCTTAATGACCTTGGACTCAGAGAATTATATGCAATGGATGTCAGCAGAGGTAAGACTTACAGTTTGTCTGTCTACAAAGAAATGCTGTAAATATATTACTTTTTTTTGCTATAATCCTGTTTTTGCATTCCAATTATTTAATGTTCTAAAATAAAGGGTTGATTTAAAAAAATAGCATAAATATAAGTTCATTTTCCATTTACATTGCTAAATTGTCCTCATTATATCATGCTAGATAAAGTAACTTTCTAATATTTTGTAGTCCGTATTTGCTAATTCCGGAATCCAAATCAGAAAATTTCTCTATTTTTAAACTCGTGTTCTATTCTATTTCTCCCTGTTTCTCCCTTTTCAGCTTTCGGGTAAAATCCTGTCCCCGGGATTGCTGACCATAAAAGGCACGGGGAAACCAGTGCAAGTAGTGTCAGATAAGCCATAAAATAGGAATATCTCAACATAGTATAGTGGTTAAAGTATTGGAATTGGACCCAGGTGAAACAAGATTCAACTCCTTCCTCAGCCAAAGAAACTCAGAATGATTGGCCTAACATCATCCACTTTCTCAGCCCAATCTATTTCTTGGCTGTTTTTATCGCATATATTGGAAGAAATTTGGTATATGAGAATCTTAAGAAAGTACTCTTTTGTTTCCTAAGGCTTCCGTGAGTGGGTTTAAGGAATATTTTATTTCTATCCCACCTTTATTGTTTTAACAACTATCTCAAGGCAATGAACATTTTCAACAGACCTTCTTCCTCCTATTTCCCCACAACAGCAACCCTGTGAGGTGGGTTGGGCTGTATGCTTCTGGAACATTCTCTAGTGCACCAGTAGTTTTGTCCACTCATTTACACTATATCTTTTCTTTCTAGATATGATCGAATAGATTTTTTTTTACATCTTGCCTGTGTAGCCTTCACATGTTCTGTTGAAATTTTGTAAAGAAGCATTCCAAATACAATTAAATTTGCATTTCTTTTTGTCTCTATAGCCACGCCAACTACTGAACACAGCTTGTCTTCATTACAAGGTGAGTCACCTTGAACATAGAGATACAAACAATAAAATATTGAGACACACAACTATTCTTGTTTAATGATGTTGGAATCCACAATACTAATTAGCATTTATCTAAATGGGATAACACTGATTTGTATTTGATAACACGTATAGTACATTTAATATAGGATTACTCTTCAATGATCAGATAACTGTTGAACAACAATAGAGTAATTGTGCCTAATTCTTTGGAGTTACCTCAGAAGTGGCATAAGGAATGGAGGAGAAAAAAAATACATGACTTTCCATTCTTAAAAAGTTCTACTATATCACTGGAAGTACCTATCTTTGTTGGAGACACTCAGAGATTAAATTTTGACCTGTCTCACACAAATTAATAAATGTGAAAAAGTGTAATAAATAGCATGTATTTGTATAAAATGAATGCTCATTATAATAATTAAAAATGAAAGAAAGGGGAAACAGGTATCCAGAAAACTTATTATTTACTATTCTGAAGATTATGATTTGTTTGCTCAAAAATCTTTCTTGCTCCTTTGTTGGAAAAACAAATCCTAATTCAAATGTTGACAGATGGCACGTATCAGTACTGTATTCCATTGTTGCAAATGGAGCTTGATGCTTTGATAATGTCCAAATTCTAGCAATATAGCCAAATAAAAATAAACCTCAAATAGTATTGATGAAAGGAATTGGATCTATAAACTCGGAATAAAATTGTTGGTTAGTAGAGCTGAAATCTGTATATATTTTCTAAACTAGTATAATATTATGTTGTTTAATTTCCTTGAGCATGAAGGGCAATATCTTACTAGACTTTTCTTCCTTTCCCCAATATGATTCCCTGAAAGTTATTTTTATTTCAATCCCCTTCTCCCCCCACCACACACACACTTTCCCCCCATTTTATGCTTCAGTAGAACCTAAGTAGGACATGGACAGATGTGACATAATATTTTTATTTTTAAAAATATTAATAACAGTGGAGTCTCCTTTGTATCATATAATATTAAAAGGTAGGGTAATCAAGTGTTGGCTATTTTAAAGAGATGGGAACTGAAATTGCTTACTTTTTGAGGAGACTCATATTTTACTTAGAAATAGCTAGCTTTTACAGGAAGATTGGGTAATGGAAGTTCATGTAGGTAACAACTCTAAACATGAAGGAAGTATTGCCATTTTAATTAGTAGATTTTCTAAAATGTTCGTTGAAGAAGGATTTTTTGATGAAGACTGTTCTCTAATTATGACCAATTGGTTGATCAATGTTTAGTACTCCTGACTTTATGTGCCTGATCACAGATTCTCCAGAACAAATGCATAGCTGTTTTCAAGATGTGTATAATAAGCTTTTAGATCAGTGATTTGAATCATACTCCAGGCCCCTTTTAGATTGCAGCAACACCCAAATAATATTCTAGCATTCATAACATTCTTCACAATTATGTATGTTTTTAATTTAGTAGCTATTTGACATTCTGCTCAACTTTCCAAACTATCATATGCTTTCTTTTATATATAGAAATGAAGATGTAAATATATGTAAATATATATGTAAATATATATGTATGTAATATATATGTGTGTGTGTGTATATATATATATATGTGTGTGTGTGTGTGTATAGATAGATAGATAGATAGAGAGAGAGAGAGATAATGTTATATAGTTATAATTAGTATTTATTGCTTTAATTTGGGGGCTTAGGGAAATATACTGGATGTCATGTGTCTGATTAACGAAACACTTAAAAGGACTTTCAGGCATATTTTTTCCTAAAAGCATTTATTAAGGTTACAGAGACGTCAGTACAGCATGGTGGAATTGCTTAGGTCTGGCTTCTCTTCCGTTACGCATATACATTCTAAGCATTTCCCCCCCCTTTTGGGGGGGTCATGGTTCACATCTTCCAATCAACTTGGAAGATGTGATTTACTTCCGGTTTCTTTTTCCCGGGCTATCCTTATTCTCCTCCCTTTTTCCCTGTTGCCTGGTTTAACTATAAAAATGCCAGACAGTTCTGCATATTGTCAAAGCAAGAATATACAGTATTTGCAGCGTTGACATCCGGCCCCCCTTACAGAAAGGACAGATCCTGTAAATCAAACCAAAGCATATGTTAAGGGTTATCTTTCGGTTTGTTGGGGTGTTTCACATGAAACCTTTTGACCAATCTATTAGCCTTTACTTCACTGGATTTCACCCAGGTGGCTTCAGATAACGGGTATCCCTTCCATTGTACTAGATACTGCAATTTCCCTCTAAAAATTCTAGAGTCAAGAATACGCTTTACTTCATAGTG